CCTGGTTGTTTGGGGCCGTAAATCATCATCGACAACATTACAAACTTGCGTTTCATGCACAATCGAGGAGACAAGTTGTAAATTACTAACAAAACAGGCCATGAACTATGTATACTACTTAAATTGCCATAAGGATTCATCCCATCTCGTAGCAAGTGCTAGTCTAAGGTTTCTCCCTCTTGACCAAATTCTCGGAAATATGTCATCAATTTTTTTCCATTGCAGAGAATCACTGGATGTCGTATCTTCCCATCACAGGTATCTTTCATCTACATGCCACGTTAAGCTCTTTGCATCTTTGGCATTAGCAAATAGCCGCTTAAACCTTGGAATTATTGGAAGATACCACACTACTTTGACAGGGGTTCCCGATGAAATTGTCTTATCACAATTATCTTCTCCATCCTTGACTTTAAACCGTGATGTACCACAAACGTGACAATTATGCAAACTTCCAAACTCCTTCCCGTACAGGATGCAATCATTACGGCATGCATGTATCTTCTTATACTCCATACCCATCGGACAGATTACTTTCTTTGCTTCATAAGTACGGCTTGGAAGTGTATTCCCTTCGGAAGCATTTCCATTAATAATTGTAGCAACTCAGTAAAACTTTTATCCGTCCACCCATTTTTGGCCTTTAAGTTAAATAATTTTAACACCGCCGACAACCGTGTGAACTTAGAACATCCTATATACAGAGGCTTCTTACTATCTTCGCATAGTTCTTCGAATACATACCCTTTTTCAAATGGCTCTTCATCGATATCACGTATCAAATCCTCTAGTCGATCATTGGTTTCTTTCTCGGATTTCAGTTGTCTCGAAGCCATTGGGAAATCTACTACTTCCCCATGCCAAATCCACTTAGTGTAACTCTTGCAAAATCCATCACAAAGGAGATGCTCTCTTATATCCTTCACACTTAGTTGTCTTAAATTTAAGCACTTCACACAAGGACAATAAAAGAGACCTCTATTGTTACCCACATTTCTCTCGTGCAAACTCTAAGAACTCTTCAACCCCTAATTCATATTCTTCTTCTATACGTTTGCCATTTATCCAACTCCGATCCATATCTATAAGTACATGACGTCTTTGCTTGGTGTGAAAATGGAATTACCTCAATTCGTAGAAACTTAAACAACTCAAACTATAATCCAAACCGAAATAGTACTCGGAACAACAAGAAAACTCCAGGAACAAAACAAACAACACAAAGAATAAACCTAAATCAACAACATAAGAAACAAACCCAAATGAAAAACAAGAGAACCAAATATAATCAATACCCCAAAGCCCTACACCCCAAGTAGTGGAAACCCATAGCCTTAACTCTTCCGTTAAGAGACTCGGACCGTAGCGACATCAACCAACCCAACAGGGCTTGGATAACACCAATCTCAACCCCACGAGAATAACCAAGTGAAAATCACATATTCAAGTCAAACTAAACGGAAATAATAATACAAAACCCAGAATAAACATGTCTACATACATTAAACCCGAGCAGTAATCAGTCCACGACCAAACAAAACAATCCGTAATCAAGGAAAATGCATAAAAGTAATTGACAAAACAAGGATGAGAAGCCAATAGGATAGACCCACTGACCTGGTCCGAATCACCTCCGGTTCGCGACGAGATCGAAGGTGCGCAGGTGCAATGAGGAGGAGCTCCTAGAGGGTTTCGCAGAGGTGAAGACGAGGGTGGCGCGTCGCAGCTTCTTGGTGCGCATCGCAGCTCCCGGTGCGCGTCGCAGCTTCTTGGTGCACGGCAAGGGTGGTTTTCGCTTGGGGATTCGATTGGGGAAACGGAGGTTAGGGATTCGATTGGGGAAGGAGATGGGAGAGACAAGTGGTTTTCGCTACCGCGATAGGGGCAAGGAGACGGTGGTTTTCGCCATCGTGAGAATGAATTTGGTAATGGTTAGGAGCAAGGGAAGAATTCCAGTAGGGAGTCGAGTATGTAATTGGGTCCGGGAGTCGAGTCTCGTAAGGGCAAGAGTGGAGTCTACTAATTTTTTTAAGACTTTCCACATCGGTTCATGGGGGAACCGATGTAGAAAGTAAAATGGTATATCGATGACCGATCGAATGGCTTGATGACCGATCGGAACCGGATGATCGATCGAATGAGATTATGACCGATCGAATTGTTTTAAATCGAGTAGATAGCACTTTCCACATCGGTTCATGGGGGAACCGATGTAGAAAGTGCAGGTCAACACTCGCTCAAACGACAATAAGATCGCTCGAGCGACGCGACCCGCACAAAATTGGCATTCTCGGGTTGTATTTCGCTTGAGCGACACCGGTCTCGCTCGAGCGACGCCACCTCCACAAAATTGGCCTTCTCGGGTGGTTTTTCGCTTGAGCGACACCGTCTCGCTCGAGCGACGCCACCCGCACAAAATTATTGGCCTTCTCGGTGGTTTTTCGCTTGAGCGACATTGTCTCGCTCGAGCGACGCCACCCGCACAAAATTATTGGCCTTCTCGGTGGTTTTTCGCTTGAGCGACACCGTCTCGCTCGAGCGACATCCACATTTTTTGGTTATGATCGATCGAATGAGTTTATGACCGATCGAATTATTTTAAAACGAGTAGAAAGCACTTTCCACATCGGTTCATGGTGGAACCGATGTAGAAAGTACTTTCTACATCGGTTCCCATCTGAACCGATGTGGAAAGGCTTTAAAAAAATTTCTACATCGGTTCTTTAACAACCGATGTAAAAAGTCCGATGTTAAAAGTGTTTTTTGTACTAGTGAAAGGAAGCGTGGGCTGGCGATGTTTAGGCTCACGAGATCTGGGCTAATAGGGGGGTGGGTTTGTGTTTCAGGGTGGTCTGTGTGAGGAGCAGACACATCTAGAGATTGATTGTGATGGTGATGCATTGTATAGGTACTCATATCATCACACAAGAAATCATAAGCAGTAGAAGAAGGGGAATGCAATTTCTGAAATGGAAAAACATGTTCATCAAATAAGACGTGACAAAAAATTATAATTTTACTAGAAGATAAATAATAACACTTGTAGTCATGATGATGCGAAAGGTAACCCAAAAACATACATGAGGTAGATCAAGGTTGTAATTTATTGATTGTGGTGGATTGCCCATTCTGAGAGGCCATGTAAGCCTGTTCTGGGCATAACCCAAGAACGTCGGGTTGTTGTTACTGTCTCTGTGGTGTTAGACCCCGTGCCCACCCCTGGTTTGGTTATGGGTATGGAGGAGCTCATTGAGGCATCCAACCCCAGGGTGGGTAATTCGACCAAGGTAAAGACCCCATTGTGACTGTTGTTGTGGACTCCCAAACTGCTGCAGACCACCACTACCGGCCCTATATGACCAGATTTGCCACCGTCAAACCCGCGACCACCGCCACCGGATTTTTTTCCAAAATTCTTGTGATATCCAGACAGCTTCCCACGGTGGTGTAGCTGGTCTGAATGTGAGGAATTTGAGTCATAAACGGATTGGGAGGCATCCATCATTGCTGACTCCAATCCCATGGCAGCCTCCTTTGCCAATCTGACTTCTTCAAGTGTGAGCATCGATCGAGCCTGATAAAACGGAGGTAGGGGATCACTCTGCCGCATTAACGTCCCTACACCGTGATATGAACTTGTGAGACCCGAAACAAGTTGAATGACGAGGCAGTTCTCCGACACTGGTGCTCCAACATTTTTCAACTGATCAGCAAGGGACTTGAGACGTTGACAATATGCAGAAACATTCAGAAAATTCTCCATCTTAGTAGTGGAGAATTCGGCCTCAAGAGTTACCACACGGGAATGTTTGTTGTCTTGGAAAATATCTCTCAATCTATTCCAAGCATTCATGGTCGTAACATTGGGTTCAATGTATGCAACAAGTCATTGGAGATAGTTGCATAAAGCCAAAAAAGAACCTTAGCATCAAGAGTCAACCATAATTCCTTTTCATCCTCAGTCACAAGTACCTTCTCTTTGCCATTGACAAGAGGAATAATGTGATGAAGGACCTTACAAGAAAGTGCGGTAATTTTAAAAAGTTCCGCTCATGTAGAGTATTAGACATTCTCCATTTCAAGAGTGATGGAAATATGGCTCCGTATATTGGAAACCGCAAGAACCGGATGGAAAGAACTCTTGTTGTCCATCATGACAATAAGGAGAAGAAGAAAAAAAAAAGATGAAGGGGAACGAAGAATAAGAAGCGTAATTGTCCTAAAAATCTGATATCATAAAAGAATATTTTTCTTAATTGATCTCATTCACTGACTTGGATAAATATAATATACAAACTATAATCTTAGGAAATTAATTAGGTAACTAATAATATAAGATATATATTTAGAAAACTAATTATAAACTAAATATATGTTTACCTAAAATACAATAACCAAGTATATTTTATGTATATATTAACAAAAACATCATTTGGTATCGTATAATATTTGAGGTCATACATATTTTTTGAGTTCATAGAAACGAAATCATTCTTAGCTTGGAGTTTAACCTTATCTCCCAAGGACTGTACTATTGACAATGGTACCAACAAGAGGAGCAGTAGTAAAAGTTGAGATAGGAAGAAGAAGCTATTGACAAGCAGACAAATAGTATCCGAGAATGAGAAAGACATCTACAAAATGGCTGATGCATTCATCAACAACTTCCGCAAACAGTTGAAGATTGAGAGAGAAAATTCGTTCAAACTTTTTCATGATATGATAAACAGAGGTTCATGAATGATTTGAGCACAATGGAATTGCAGCAGTAGCTAAATAATAGTGGTTTTGTAACCATTTCATACAATGCACACATAAAATGTACTATAGCTTCTCTTAATGTAGCAATTTTAGTATACAATTGAAGATACAAAACTCCCTCCAAAGGGAAAATACAATTGCATAACAAATAATGCAGTCCAATCAAATTTCATGGCAAACTTGTAGATACCATGTTGTCTTGAATCAAACCTGTATTTTACACCTCTTCAAGGCATTTTCTATTCTGACATTATCCTTAGACCAGAACCTGCAAGTGATGGTATACTCTGTTCATATCTGAAAAAATTGCTTGGATCTACCTTTGTCTTTACCTCTACCAGTCTATCAAAGTTTCTTTTGAAATACTTCTCACCCCATACCCTAGCGTCTTCATAAGTAGCATTTCCAGGCCCATTAACACCTATATCAACATCTCTATAGTTCAGATATGAACTTCTAGGTGACTTTGACACATAAGGCGTCATATAATCATAGAGACCCCGAATCAGATCCAAATATCTATTAGCAACATCTTCACCCTCCTCTTTCCAATTCACCGAGTACTGAATTTTGTATAAGTTACCAGCTCTATGTGGAAACGGTGTTTCCATCTCAGAAATTTCACCCATTCTCCCACCATAGGGGTTGAGTGCGAGAACAGGTTTTTCTAGCTCCATCATTTTATTCCATATACCTTCAAGGCCAAATTTGGAAATAGGTTGCTGCACATAATCTGATTTTCTCTTCAAGAATTTCTCAGTTGTACCATGCCTTTGAAGCAGAACTTCTACCGAAGTCCCCACCGGAAAGTTGTCCCAAAACAACACCGAATCGATCCAACTCATTTCAATGCAGTCTTCACCAACCAAACCCAATTCAGGGAAGCTATCACTCATCACACGAAGCAACTCTCGTGCATTTCCAAGAAACAGGGCATTGAACTTGGCTCTTATTGTCTTCTGACCCTTCCTTTTGACAGAACTAAGAACCACTCTAATAAACAAACCATGATGGATGTTATCAGCAACATACTGCCATCGATGAACAACATCAGTGGCACCCTGTTCCAATGTTTTTTCAACTCTAAAAACTGTGACAACCTCAGGCACGGGAACCAGCTTGATTTTCCAGGACACAATGACCCCAAAGCTAGCACCCCCACCTCCTCTAATCCCCCAGAAAAGATCTTCCCCCATTTGCTCCCTGTCTAAGACTCTCCCTTCAGCATCCACAATCACAGCATCCACAATCACAGCATCCAAAACATGATCCACAGAAAGACCAAACCTTCTCATCATGTTTCCATACCCTCCTCCACTGAAGTGCCCTGCAACACCAACACTGTGACACACACCAGCTGGGAAACCATGCACCTTGCTCCTCTCAGCAACCCCATGATAAAGTTCACCAACCGTTGACCCAGAGTCCACCCACACAGTCTCATCCTCCATGTTGACCTCCACTGATCTCATCATGAACATGTCCATGATCACAAACGGGGACTGTGACACGTAAGAAAGGCCATCATAGTCATGGCCCCCACTTCTTATTCTGATCTGAAGTTGGAACCTTTTGCAGCATATGATGGAGGCTTGGATGTGGGAGATGTGAGTTGGGGTTACGATGAACAATGGTTTATGAGTAGTGGGAGCAGTGAATCTGAGATTTCTGATGTAGGAGTTCAAGATAGAAGGGTAGGACGGGTTGTTGGAAAAATAGGTGACGGTGTAGATTGGATAAGAAGGATCAGAATGAAGAGAGAGACATTGCAGAATGGTGTCTTCAGGAGGATCTGACATTAGAAGAAAGATTGAGAGAAAAGATAGAATCGCATTAGCGTTAACTGACATATTCTACTGTCTATACCACAAAAGTTAGTTCTGCTTATATTTATATTTCCACCGATTTTAAAAAAATAAAATAAAATTAGAATGAATATTTTGAAATGCATTTTAAAATACATATTCACTAATTTTAAATTTATAGAATAAGTGAACTCATGCAACATTTTCACTCAATAGTAACAAACATTATTTGAATACAGTTGATTGTCACAATCATTTTAATGTTTCATTTTTCTTTTCTATATGAATTTTTAAATTATGGTAAAATTACTTATTTTCTAATATGTCATAAATAAGACTTTTATCTCTGAAGAAAAAAAAACAGGACATGTTGTATATCTTTAGAATTATTAACTATAATATATTTAAATTATATAAAAAATAATTAAAATAAATAATATGTAATTATAAAATAAAATGAAAGGTACTATTTCTATTTAAATAATATTTCATAAATATAAAATAAATTATTAATTAAATAATATTATTTTTCATAACATATATATGATTATCTTTATTTACAAAATATTAAATATATTTTTAGTTGAATTATTCACTTAAAATTCATTTATTTTATTTAATATTATATTTTTTTAATAAAATAATTGTATCTGATATTAAAAAAATACTAATAAAATATCACAAACTTAAATATAACAAAAGAATTAAAAAAGAACTAAAATGAGACAGAATAATTTTACATTGATTTAAAGCATATCATAGTCATCTATTTTATAAATATTTTAAATTATTTATGAACAAAAGAAAAACAGTAATATTATTTTTAAATTGTATATAGTTTTAATATATTGTAATTATTAATTGTAAAAATATAAAACATATTTTTCTATTTTATGTTTAAATTTAAAGTTAAAAATTTCTATGTATGTCATTAAAAAGTATTTATAATGATTAATATTATAATATCAAAACTAATATATATATATATATATAATAATTATAATTTCTAAAAAAATAATTATTTTAATAAAAATACAATGTAAACAATAATTATTGATGAAAATGTAAAATAATATATATATATATATATATATATATATATATATTATAACTATTTATTTATGTTTAATAATAGACATATTACTTAATTTAAAATATTTTTTATTATTTAATTGTATTAATTGTTATTTAATCTAACTAGAATTAGTAATAAAAACTTAAAAGGAAAGATTGCTTAGAAAATATGAGCGTTTTAATCTAATTAATGTTTTTATATATATTAAAAGTATACAAAACCATATTTATAAAATAATATAAGTATGTCATATATATATATATATATATATATATATATATATATATAATTTAAAGATATAATCATACATTATTCAAATTCTGAAATAACTTGTTTTTTAGAAGTTTTCTTAATAAATGTCTAGAAAGTAAAAAAAAGTTTTTATTTTGAATAATAAAAGGGAAAAAAAAAACAAAAAACTCTGAAAACTCTTGTGGAGACAAGAGACATCAAAATTTTACAATTCTCAAACAGTGAGAAAATGAAAACTAAATATATAATTAATTAAAAGCAAAAAAAAGATCAGAACAGCAACGCATACATTGCCGCTATCGCCGGAGTGTGAGCAGGAACCACGAGGGAGCAATTTGATCACGGAGCCTCGTAATTTTACATTGATTATTGTTATTATTGTTGTTGCTTTATGTGAGTTAAAATTGTTGGAATGAATTTCATTGCTTTGTTGAACTGAAATCGATTGAGTTGCTTCCTTCCGTTCTCTTCACCGTGTTTAGCTAGCTGAGAAGGATGCACTGCAAAATTTTATATATTCTGTTAAAATGAATCGGCTGGCACGTAGTTGAAACTGAAATTTGATTGACTTATATACTGTGTGAAGTAGTTTCGCTGGATTTAGGGATCTTTGACTGGTACATTTTGTACAACTTGGTGGTGTATAAATATATGTGAATAAAATGGAGTCTGGTTACTGTAGTGAATTGTAGTATGCAATCGTGCTGAGGAATTGTAGATTTGATGTTCCTCCAATTAATCCTTTGACTAATTCGTACTGATTCATTTCGTGGAGAAGAAACTTTACCTCTTAACATATGATTTATCACGTATTTTTGTTGAAATATCAAATATAGATGAGTGACCACATATTAAATATTTTGGAATCGCAAAGTGAATCAGTAATTGTATTATGGATGTCCTTGTGCACATAACATAATAATTTCTTAGCAGTTATGGTGTTTATTATTTCATAGCTTATATAGGTGTCAAACCATTTCCGTTCCATTATCTTAAAAACGAATAAACCAATAGGGGGGTTGGGTAGGCTTTTTAAATATTCGATTCTAATATTCTAATATTGTTGTTGGCATAGATGGGAGAGCTCGCAACTGAGAAACATGTTCGCTACATATTATCAGTTGAAAAGGTTTGCTTCCTGTTTATACATTCGTTCTAAAAAGAAGAAGAAATTATCTTGAGTTGATTATTACGAAACATACATGAATTGTAAACTCTTATTTTATGCTTAAAAGGTTGGATATCTTCATTTTTCCTTTTACACATTCTTTTTTTGCTTTCCAGAGGAAAGATAACTTTGAATCTGTGGTAATGGAGCATCTAAGAATGAGTGGGGCATACTGGGGATTGACTGCTCTCGATCTTCTGGGAAAGCTTGATACTGTTGATGTTCATGAGGCTATTTCATGGTTGCTAAGTTGTCAGCATGAGTCAGGTTGTTGAATGTTTTATTTGTTCCTTATTTTGTGAGTTGGAATTATTTTAGGCATCAGTGTTGTGGATAATTCTTATTAGATTGTGTTGTTGTGAAGGGGGATTTGGTGGAAATGTTGGACATGATGATCCGCACATCCTCTATACACTAAGTGCCGTGCAGGTGTTGGCTCTCTTTGATAAGATGGATGTTATTGATGTAGATAAGGTGACAAATTGTATCCTTAAACTGATATTTACTGGCTTTGAAGGTCCTATAATCTGTATTCACAAATATTTTGTGATACAGAAGAAACTTTGTTCTTTTTGCAATTTTTTTAAATATTATATTTCTGTTTTTTATCAGGATTATGTAGCTTTAGTTGGCTATCGTACTTTGCTGGTGCTTTTTAGAAAGATCAATGAAAAGATTTTGTCGTGATTTTTAGTGGAGTTTGATGGGTAGTTACTAAAATTACAACAGTGAAATTTAATAAACTATAAGTATACTGGATCTTTGTTTCTTAATATCTATGTCAGATATTGTCAACCTGCAAAATGAAGATGGATCCTTTTCAGGGGATATGTGGGGTGAAGTTGATACACGGTATTTTTCTTAAGTTCCTTTTTATTATTGAGCATGTAAGAGCTTACTATATTTTTAACTAAAATCCCCTGAATTGTTCCTAGGTTCTCATACATTGCTATTTGTTGTTTATCAATATTACACCGCTTGGATAAAATCAATGTGGAGAAAGCTGTGAAGTACATTATAAGTTGCAAAAATATGGATGGTGGTTTTGGTTGCACTCTTGGTGGGGAATCTCATGCTGGTCAAAGTATGTCAATATATTATCCATGGTCATTACTTAAATTATTAATTTCTCTGTCGTTTACTCAATGTATGTACTAATACTATTAATCCCTTTAAAGATTGTGTTCTTTACTTCTTCCCCACACGAAAAGGAATGCTTCATGTTGGGAGGCCATAATTTGAAATTTGAATATGTTTATGAAGTTATGGGTAGAAGAATCTGTTTAATCCTAGGAAGCACAATAAGAGTGGGCTAAAATTACTACTTAATTGAGAGTAACTTTCTTGTAGTTTAAATCTTGGGATTGGGGCATACCGAAGTTAAATATCATATTTAAATTAAAACTCATCAATTCATCCATCATCATCATCATTTTGTTTTTAGTTAATATTTTTCAGATTAATAAATTAAAAATTGTGATTTATGAGCATTATTAGACAATCCTTTAACCTTTCGAGGTTTGTAAAAGTACTTACTTTGGATAGCTTCATTAGGTGGTCTACTATCAGAATTTGGAACTCTATGTTTATCCTAGCTATTGCATGGTTCATTACTTAATTGTTTTGTGGTTGCTGAATATAGAGAAAATATGGTTTGAGATAATCTCCCTTGTGTATAAACCACACATAGCATAATCTAATTATAATAGAGAGAGGTTAAACTAAAAGAGTAAATAAAACTAAATAAAATAAACAAAAAATAGCAGTGTGAAAGGAGCTTGGGTATTCTGGAGTGCCTTGGTTCCACATCAAGTAGTATAGGATGCTCTAGGTGGAGTGTTTAAGTGCTCGGTCCCCCCTACATCAAGTAATATATATATATATATATATATATATATATATATATATATATATAACTATTGATAAAAAAATTGATACACGTTAATTAAAAAACATTTTTATAAGCTTTTTTTTATTTACTATTTTTAAAATATTTTAAAATTTTCTTTAAAAATACTTACTATTCATTTTTTAAAAATAGTTTTAAAAAATATATTTTATTTTTAAATTGATAAATTAAATTGATAAAATATATTTTTATTTTTTCAATTTTTCAATTTTCATCAAAATTGATAAAATATATTAATACAATATAATTTTTAAACGTTAACACGTTATTATCAAATAACTATATTAAATTACTAATTTTTATCCTCAAACTTGTTTTTTAACTCCGTATGAAATTTTGTAGTTATTTATGTCATTTTATTTTATTTTAAATAAAGTTATTAAATAAGGTTTTATCTGATTTATTTTTAAAATCTATATCTTGCTTATTTATTATTTTTAAATTCTATAACTTGCTTATTTTTTTCTTTTAAAAAAAGTTTCCAATTTTATAGTTTTTAAAATATAAAATATTTATTTGGTAATTTTTTATAAAAGAAGTTTTTAAACCTGATTTTGTTTTATAGTTTTTAAAAACTAAATAAAAAAATTATCAAACATGTTTTATGTTTTAATGTTTTGTTTTCAGGTTAACAATGTTTTGATTAATAGTCATTCATTTTTATCATAAAATTATTAAAATTAGTTTTTTAATTTTTATTACGACTTCATACTTTTATCTTTAATTTATAATAATTTTCACAAGCACACATATAAAAAAAATATTTTTCTAATTTATTTTCAAAAATAATTTTTTAAAACTTATATGTAAAATTTATTTTAAAAATTACAAAATAAAATTGAACCAAACAAATAATTAATCTTTAAATTTAAAAACTGTTTTAATAAGTGAAGAGAAGTTAGATTATAAAATCATGATTTGTTGAAAAATTTAATGATATAACGTTATTTTTAAGAAATTTAATGTTGATTTTATTTTATTGAAAATTTAAAAAATAAAACAATTATTTCTTCTATTTTCTCTAATTATTTATTTTAATTTATTTATTTTTTGAAATTTATTTAATGAAATAACTACCAAAACAAAATTAAATATCTTATCATGTTACATACATAATATTCTTACAAATAATATTTTATTTAAATATATTAATAACAAACTTCATTTGTAGCAATTAGCAACTTATTCTAACCACAATATAAGAAATTCATAAAAATTTGTTTCCGAAGCAAACCAAATTGGAGGGTAAGATTAGTCAACGATGGAAACATTCATGTCATTAGTTTTTGAAGATATTAAAAAGCATAAGAAGATGATACGGAAGTTGCAAAAAAAAACTATAAAGAAGACCATAAAAATAAAATAAATAAATAAAAGTGTTGTAATTATTATGGTAATTTGTTCAATGATAATCATACTAGTTTTGTTTGGTTAGATTGAAAATGTAAGGGAGTTTATGGTTTAGTAAATATAAAATGTCATTTGAGATATTTGTTTTAAGAACAATTATTATGTCATTTTTTCAATTAATAGACATTGAAGGAATTGTTGCTACAAATATTAATGGCACTTTAAAGGAGATGTAATTTTTGTCCTTTTATTATTAACCAAATTATATATATATATATATATATATATATATATATATATATATAAAGTTTATTGTCCTTTAATTTTACATAATAATTATTCCTAAATAGAATTTGTACAAACTATCACAATTATAACATATATAATATTGGGAAACTATTAAAAGATATCTCAATCCTCTTAAGTTGTAGTATATAGATTATAAATGCCCAACTTAAAAAAAAAACATAATCAAATTGAGTTCTTCCTAAAATCTTAGTGAAGATATCTGTCAGTTGAGCATAAGAAGACACATGACCGACCTATAGCAATAATTCTTTGCAAAAGTTCATCACAGATAAAGTGGCAGTCCACTTCGATATGTTTAGTACGTTCATGGAAAATAGGATTAGTTGTAATGTGAAATGCAACCTAATTATCACAATTGAGTTTTATAGGTTTATGATGATTAATATCAAAACATGATAAGAGTTTCTTGAGCCATTTCAGCTCACAAATGGTAGTAACCATAGAACCGACATTATGTTTTTGTGGAAGAACGACACACAATGTGTTGTTTCTTAGTTTTTCATGAAATTGGTGAATTACCAAGAAAAACAAACCAACCAATAAGAGAATTTATAGTCAAAGGACAACTAGCCCAATCTAAGTCACACCAAGTATAGAGTTTTAAATCACAATTAGGATTTAACAAAATTTATTGTCCAAGATAGCCTTACAAAAATGCATAACACATAGGGCAACATCGTAATGTTCTTGTCGAGGATGTTACATGAACTGTGCAAGTGTATGCACACAATAAGAAAGTTCAAGCATAGTAACAGACAAGTAAATTAACCGTCCCACCAACTTTCTATATTATTTTGGATCTGGAAGAAGAGCACATTCAGCTAACAATAGGTAATGTTAAGAATCCATGGGAGAGTCAACCGGCTTAACTCCTAAGATATAATATCCAACGCATATTTGCGTTGACAACAAAAAATTTTCAGTATAGTTACGAGTCACCTCAATGCCTAACAAATATTTTAACGTTCCAAAGTCTTTCATATGAAAATATACATACAAGTATGTTTTGAAGGCTTTAATATCAACACCATCATTACCTGAAATCATGAGATCATCCACATAGACTAACACATGGTGACGACACTCAAATAGAAGGGAAACAATTTAGGGTTAGGTTTTAAGAATTGATTTGATTGGAAATAGAAAACAGAAAAAAATAAAAGATACCGTAGGTGCCACAAATAAGAATATTTGATAAGCCAAGAAGGATCGCCACAAGAATTGGATAATTCTTGATAAGATCAAATGATGCAAGGAAGAACCCTAGCAGAGCAACAACTCACAAAGTAATCTGAATATTACCCACGTTCATTCTGAATTCTCAAATGTTTAATACAACTTAAATTTATGAGTTTTTCTCATTGCAGAAAATAAAGATAAATTAAAATCCTAATATCCCAAGCAAAGTTAAGTTACCCAGATGGTTCAGTGAAGGCATTATAAGCTTTGGGTCTTGAGTTCAAATCCCCACTGTAGCAAATAAAATAATAATAATAATAAAAACTAAATCTTTTAGTTGGGCCTCCTAACTCTCCAAACATTCTATGCATGTGATAGGTCTAGACTCCTCCATGTTTGGATCTTTTAATAGTTGGGCCTTTAGCAAATTGGTCACTTTGTATTGCAATGCCTCTTGTGTTTTTCTGAGTCTGCCTCTTGTCATAGGTCCACCTAAGTCTTGGATTGGATCTTGGTCTTGATCCTTCTCGTTATGGGCTTAGGCCTTTATGTCCACATCATTCCCTCCTTCTTGGGCAGCATTTGTCCTCAAATCTATGAATTCATCTCCTGCATCAAAAGGAGTCAAGTCAGCAACATTAAAAGAAGAACTTACATTATACTCTCCTGGTAGATCAATCTTATAAGCATTATCATTGATCTTCTCTAAGACTTGGAATGACCCATCTCCCCTAGGTTGAAGTTTAGACTTTCTTTGTTCAGGAAACCTTTCCTTTCTCATGTATACCCAAACCCAATCACCAGGTTGGAACACCACCTTTTTCCTACCCTTGTTAGCTTGCCTCGCGTAACTCTCATTCTTCTTTTCAATTTGAGCTTTTACTTGCTCATGTAGCTTTTTCACATATTCTGCTTTAGCCTATGCTTCCTTATGCTTAAACATAGAAATGTTAGGCAAAGGCAACAAATCAAGAGGAGTCAAAGGATTAAATCCATACACAATCTCAAATGGTGAACAATTAGTGGTGCTATAAATAACCCTATTATGAGCAAACTCAACATGAGGTAAACATGCTTCCCAAGTCTTAATATTTTTCTTTAAAATAGTCCTAAGCAATGTGCCTAAAGTCCTGTTGACTACCTCAGTTTGACCATCATTTTGTGGGTAACAAGTAGTAGAAAACAATAATTTAGTATCAATCTTACCCCACAAGGTTCTCCAAAAGTGACTAAGGAATTTTGAATCCCTATCACTCACAATGCTCCTCGGCAACCCATGTAGCCATACTACTTCCTTGAAAAACAAATCAGCCACATGACAAGCATCATCTACCTTCTTGCAAGGTATGAAATGTGCCATCTTAGAAAACCTATCAACAACAACAAACACAAAATCCTTTCCATTCTTTGTTTTAGGCAGCCCTAAAATAAAGTCCATAGAAATGTCAATCCAAGGATATTCAGGAACAGGTAAAGGAGTATACAACCCATATTTAGTTTTAAAAGCTGTTTTCCACTCATCTCCTTCTCTAATTCTGATTTGATGATATCCACTTTTCAAGTCAATTTTAGAGAAGATACAAGCACCATATAATTCATCCAACAAGTCATCTAACCTAGGAATGAGATGTCTATACTTTACCGTGATGTTATTGATAGCTCTACAATCTGTGCACATCCTCCAAGTTCCATCTTTCTTAGGGACTAGAATGACTGGGACTGCACATGGACTCAAGCTTTCTTTAACCCGCCCCTTTTGCATTAAGTCTTCAACTTGCTTTTGAATCTCCTTGGTTTCTTGGGGATTGCTTCGATAGGCTGGTCTATTAGGCAATGAAGCTCCTGAAATAAGGTCAATTTGATGCTCAATACCCCTAAGAGGGGGTAGACCTATAGGCACTTCTTTGGGAAAAACATCTTCAAAATCCTGCAACAAAGAAAAAACCTCTTTTGGAAGAGCGTTAGTAAAACATGGACTGTTTGATTTACTTTCTTTACTCAAAAGTAAAAGTATTGGCTTTCTCAATTGCATAACTCTTTTGACTTCTTTTTCTTTTATAAATAGATTTGATTTTTTTCTCTCTTTCTCTTTTTCTTCCTCTTTTTCCTTTTTCTTTTCACTTTCTTTTTCTTTTCTCTTTTCTCTCTCTTTTTCTTTTCTTTCTTGTTTTCTTTTCTTTCCCATTTTCAGTTGATCCTCACTAACTTCTCTTGGAACCAAAGGTGCAAGAGTAATTTTGCGATCTTTATGCATAAAAGAGAACTTATTAGTGAAACCATCATGCATAACTCTCCTATCATACTGTCATGGTCTCCCAAGAAGTAAATGACAAGCCTCCATAGGCACCACATCACACAAAACAGAATCTTCATATTTCCCTATGGGAAAATCCACTTCAACTTGCCTATTCACGGTCATCTCACCATCTTCACTAAGCCATTGAAGTTTGTAAGGTCGCGGGTGTGGCTTAGTCTCCAAATTCATTTTTGAAACCAACCGTGCACTAGCCACGTTAGTGAAACTCCCACATCAATGATTAAAGAGCACAACTTCCCCTGAATGAGGCACCTTGCATGAAAAATATTTTCCCTTTGACAATCATCCAATTCAACTGATTGACTACCCAACATCCTTCTAATCATGAACAGATCTACTTCTAACTCTCTTTCATCTTCATGCTCATTTTCATCACTAGATGGAGAATCTGAAGAAGATTCACTAATTATTTCTCCATCCTCCTTAAGTAACATAGTCTTCTTAGTTGGACATTGAGAAGCTATGTGACCTCTTCCCAAACATTTGAAACACTTAACCTCACTACTCCTTGTTTTCTTAAGTGCCTCATCAGACTTATTTTGATTTCTATGAGCTATAATATTGGAATTGCTTGTTGATGATCCTCCCTCCTTCTTATTTTTGTCCTTCCAACTAGGAGAGTGAAAATTAGATGAATTCCTCCTCATGGCACCCTTTCTCTTCAATTGTTGTTCCACCTTGGAAGCTTGATGTACTAAATCCTCCAACTCAACATAATTTTGCAACTCCACAACATCTCTTATATCACTATTTAGCCCATGTAGGAATCGGGTCATAGTAGCCTCCCGTGCCTCCATAACATTAGCCCTAATCATGGAAACCTCCATCTCTTTGTAATATTCATCAACACCTCTACTACCTTGTATGAGTCTTTGGAGCTTGTTGTGAAGATCTCTTTGATAATGAGAAGGAACAAATCTTCTTCTCATCAACCTCTTCATTTCTTCCCAACTTTCCACCAAGGGTTCTTCATATCTCACCCTTTCCCTTTGTAATTGGTTCCACCAAATGAGAGCATAATCAGTGAATTCCATGGCTACCACCCTCATCTTTTTATCTTCTGTGTAATTATGGCATGCAAACAGTTGCTCAATTTTTATTTCCCACTCCAAATATGCTTCTGGATCACTCTTTCCTTGAAAAGAGGGTATGTTCAACTTTACTCCTTTAATTCTGTTATCTCTAACATCACCTTCATTATTTCTCCTTCTCCTCCTTCTACCTCCACCATCATCATCATTTCCTTGATTTTCTAGTTGTTCAATTCTCCCATACAACTCCTCAGTATGCTCTGTCAACATTCTTTGCATTTGAGCTGTAATGGCTTCAATCAATAATCTATTGTCACCCCCTAGAGGAGGGGTACCACCACCATCACCTGCACCTGCCATCTTTCAAGTAAAAAAGAAGAAATGACCAAACAAATGAAGT